GTAAAAATGGGGTTTTCCCATTTTAGACCTAAAACATAAAGTTTTGGAATTTCTTTCCCAACCATTTTGTAGAGCTTAAAAAAATAAATAATTTAGTATATTGAAGCATTGTTGTATGCCTAAGGGTTACGGAGAAAATTCAAAAAAGGGCAAATTTAAAATTCCCATGTTATTCTTATGGAGAAAATGAAAACTGTTGTAGTTGACTTGTTTATGGATATATTTTGATAAAATTTGGCAAATTTATTTATTTCATCCTATACTATTGACGTTTGGTCAAAAAAACACTGTTTACCTTCCCCGTAGCAGCAAACCTAAGCACTCCTTAAATCTAATGTTATTTAAATTGGGAATAAATATTTCTTACTAGGAGAAACCCGTCAAAATCGACGGTTACTTTCTAGGTTTACGCCAATTCATCTAACTGCGATAAATTGAGTGAAACTATACATATTTTGTTTACATGCATTTTTAACCAACGTATCTTATAAAGGATGATGTGATCTAGTTTAAAAGGAATATGACCTTACTGTCGTTATTCATTGGGCCATATTTACAGCCAAAATGTTGTGTTATTTTGAATAATATTACCAACCCAGTGGGCCACGGTCCGCAATTTTAGTCCACTGCAAATAATTTGTCAAGATAGGTACCATTTTAGGCAAGGTTTCTGTGTTTGGATGTTATTAGACATGGACAAAATAAAATTCTTCTGCAGATGAATTATCTGTTGAAGAAATATAAGCCGAATTATAAATGTCACAATGCGAGTTTGAGCATTTTGTAACTATATGGGTAAGCTACATAGATTTTTTTTTTTAAAGCTGCTGCTCAGTGCACTTTAAGAATATATTTTTTTAGAGATAAATTAAATGGTTTTTGTTAATGAGTAGCGCTAGTAAACATGCACAACCCTTTTTGTTGGTCTAATAACATTCAAAGGCTCTCTAAGAGTTCAAGTTCTTATTTGTATACAGTACATATCTATATTATGTTTTCACTAAGCTGAATGAATACATCGAAGTAACCTCTCTGAAAAGTCTGCAGTATATTGCAGTTTCCCAGCTTAATGACTTTCTAAATCATGCACATTATTTCTACATAAATATTGTAAAACATTTAATCCAGTTGCTGTAAACCACTATTAATTTAACAAAATATGGACACAGCTCAAATGGGCACTGTGCCCTTCTGCACTTGTACTATTTTGTATTGTATTACACAATCGAACATTTTTCCAAAGATTGAAAGCATGTATGACAATAGTCTCATGAACCTATGATGATCTGCCTAGAATAATATGATAAAATATTGGGAAAATGTGTGAAAAAGGCAGACACCAACCCGTAAAATAGATATAAGATAGTTCAATAAGAAATAATTGTAAGAGTTATTGTGATTCAATTTTAAAATCAGAAAATAACATTGCAAATACTTCTTTTGTACAGTTCAGTAACTCCCAATAAATGTGTGTTGTTTAAAATACAATTTTAAAATTAACTTAACAGCCGTTTTAAAAAGTACTATCCACATGACCAAAATGTAAACAAATCTGTGGAGGCATCTTTAAAGGCTTCTGGGGCAGAGCCCTAAGCGAATTTACTTCGTTTTTCTTTTGATAATTCATCTACAGACCAAGTCCTTTCTTTGGACACCTCTACCAAGTTTCTACGCCAAGAATTTCTCTAAAATTAGTGGAGACAAAGTTTTCAATTAAATATTTAGATTCCCCATGTTAATCTTATGGGAGAAAACCCAACTTTGATGGAAGATCCTGGCCCAAACTAATAAAGATATCAAAAAACAAGAAACACTTTGCAAAACTACAGATCAGGACAATTTTTTTTACACTTTAATCATCAAAATGGTCCAAAAATGAGGGAGGAGTTCTGTTTACAAAAATCGGCTTAGCGTATTATATATATAGATTTAAGGAAATATGTAATCAGACAAGTTGAAATTCGCTTAGTCTGCAGGTTTGCTGCGGCAGGGGTATTTTGCTATATATTTTGTCTTTGATATGGTAATTACTTTATGTGTTTAGAAAGGTATAAACTTAAATTAGCTAGTTAGAATTTTTCATTGCTGCATTTTTTTCCTTTACTTGAAAACAACCCACAAAAATACATTATCATAGCCTTCTCTATGTACTGTGTATTAGAGGTGGCTATGACATTATGGATGAAGAGCCTATAAAGACCCCTCCAATCTATTGGGTTGGTGTAGTATAACCAATCTATTCAAAAAATGTGGTAAAACTATAAAGAAAACTTTATAGGTTGTATACAATGTGACAATTAAGTATTAGGACAACTTTATAACTTTAATACCCCCACCGCAGCAAACCTGCAGACTAAGCGAATTTCTATTTGATTTATTGGATTGACACTAAAATATCCCCTTAAAAATATCACACAAAAATTCATTATTTAAATAGCATTAGTTTAACAAGTACTTAGGTTTGCTGCACCAGGGAGGGTTTAAAGGTGTTTTCTTGCAAAATGTTAATACAGTATGTAGTTTAGTATGAAATAAATGCATTTTCCAAATTTGATCAAAATACAGTATGTTTATAAACCAGCAAACTACAACAGTTAAGGGACGGCCCAAAGGGAGTAAGTAGAAAATCTAAAAGGTAAGCATAGGTTGATATATACCTCAAATTAATGGTTTTGTTGAACTAAAAACAATGCCACAAACGGGACCTCAAATAGACAGTCGAGTAAAAAATTACAGATGTTCAAGATTACTTGAAACTAGTGCACGTTGCTCGAATTCGAGCAATTGCAAAGTATTAAAGGAGTTATTTCAAAACGGATAACAGTCATAATTTCCTATGACTTCTGGGAAACTGAAAATGAACTCACTCTGAAAACAAACGCTCTTGTGTGTATAATGTGTTTACCTTACTATTTACTAGATTTTATTAAGGTGAACAGAGCCTACACTTTGAGTGGTATCTTTCATGTAAAGCATTATAGGCTACTGTATAGTTGCCAGACGAGATGGGTAAAGATTTGATTAACCCTTCCCGGACGGGCGAAATCGTGACATTGAAAAAATAAGAATTAATTTTCCTTATTTGTGTTTTGTTATACAAGTATATACATAAAATAAACACAATGGAACACTTCATACTGTCAAAATAATTTTTTACTCGTTTTTAACTATGCGGATATATCTGCTACCCGTCCGTGGATGAGTAGAAAAGCAGCGGATATATCCGCCACCCGTCTTTGGAGATATGACCGTGACAACGTTAGGTAATAAATAAAGAACAATATGTAAACAATAAATAAAGATAACGTAGTGTTGAGCGCGAAACGTCGAGGGGGGAGCGTAGAAGAGGTGGGAGGTGCGCGTGATAAGGGGAGGCGTGGGAGAGGGGTAGGCGCCGGAGAGAGCGCAGCCATGGAGAGCAGGAAAGTGGCACCTTGGTACCGTGAAACATCTGGTTACTGCTCAAGCGCCTGCCAGTCTATCTGAAGAGAAGGCGGATATATCCGCTTCCCGTCCGGAACATCAAAAACCATAAGCGGATATACCCGCCAACCGTCCTTTATCGCCAAAGACTTAGGCGGATATATCCGTCACCCGTCCGGGAAGGGTTAAATGTAAGGCTTCGCCTTCAAGTGAACCAAGTACTGGTGTTTGTCAACCAGGAATAAGCTATTATTGTGGATAGTAGTATCAAAAGGTTAATATAGGAAATCCAGGTTTTTTTGTCACCATTGAAGGACTTCAGTTCTAGCTTAGGCAATTTTACGATGCTAGGAGTAGAGGTTGGGTTTGAGGTTATCGAGTTATTTGTCGATTGTTCATCTTTAGAGTTCTAAACTAAAAGAGAAATTTTGGCTTGAATATTTATTGAGTTCTGATATATCGTCCTGGAACTTCAAAATTGCTTCTTTATTGTCAGAAGAAAAAAATATTAGTGTCGTCGTGAACAGTGAGAAGTTTATAAAGATTAGCTTCAAAATTAGCAGAGATTGTTTTGGCTTCAAGTCAATACAGGTTAACTTTAGCGGTTTGAGCTTCACATATTTCTGAGGGATATGACGGAATATAGTCATTGATCATATTTAGTTTATTTAATTGCACTTGGCATCGATTAGAAAATGTTGAAAATCTCATTTTGAAAGCTAGGTCTAAAGTTCAATGAGTACCTAAGTAGCCTAGATATTGTAAATGGTTGGAGTGATGATTTGAGTATAAGGACGACTCAGGATTAAAATCAGGGCTTCTTTATAATTTTTGTGTTTATATTGATTTAGTGAAACTTACGATGATATGGGATGTTGTCTTCATTTTCTTTGACGTATTAAAGCATAACCTTACTTTTCAGTTCTTTCACATGACGTTTGACGTTGAACTTGAAGTTGCATTGTAGACGAAATATTAAATAATGATGGATGCGGAGCGAAATGGCTGAAGTAGAACGATGACGAAGTAACACTTGGAACGAGAAGAGAGTGAACTGTAGCGTGGTGAAAAGTTCAATATGGTGATGCAGTATTGTCCTTGGTGGCTTCACATTGGATGAAATACGTTCAACCGAGACATTTAAATAAACTTCAGAAAAAGTCACACAAATTTTCTTTGATATAATACACGGCTCGAGAGGTCCAAAAATGTGCGGTATAATTATAATAAAGAGGAAAAGTCGAGAGAATTGATTTAAAAGAGGTTTAATTTATAAGAGAGAAAGTGAATACGTGTTGTTAAGAGAGGTGATTTGCGGTGAATGAATGCAACAATGAGAATTAACATTATGATCATGTGATGGGAATTACACATGGACTGTTGAAAACAACGACAACTTGACTGAACAATAGCATCTCCATGTATTAATTTAAAAAACCGCCAAGTTAACCTTCCCTCAGTAGAAATAATAGCACATTTCTATTCCATTCTATATATATAAAAAAAAAACTAATAGAAATCTTAATTAAATGCCTTACTAGATAATACAAAGGAAATTAGTCAATAAAATTAAAAAGTAAACAATAAAATGTTTATTTATAAAATAGTTTATGAGGTCTCCATAGCTGTTGTGGTTTCCTCAGTGTATTTTCCCTTGTCCTTGCCCAGAGCTGCTGCACGTCCCTTGGCTCGTCTTTCAATGATCTTCTTGCGGTCCTTGTCCATCTTCAACTTTACAATCACCGTCTGCAACACAAAATAGGATCATTGACTATTAATAGTCAAAGATAGGATGTTCCTAAAAAGTTCACAGAACAAATGTTTAGAGCTAGCACAAAATATATAAAAATGGAAGTGTAATAATTATATAACTCAATAATTTTAAATATGTTTCTGTCATGAGTAACAAAAAAAGTTGCTCGGCAACTGTATAGCAAAGACCATTGACAGCTTGGCACATGCTGAAACTTGGAAGACAACCCTAGGGCAACTAGAATAGATGGACATCAATTCTGACCAATGACAGAGAGATCTAAGGCAAATACTCTCCAACTCTGTAAATTGCTGGTTTGAATCTTGTCTCAAAAGTTAATTCCTTTGGAAGTGGCCCACCCAAAATAAACAGGGGATAGCAGATACAGCGTTTAGCGGTTGTGTCATAAAATGCATTAATATCACAGGTGGAAGTAGTAATTTTGCCCTGAAGGAAACATTTTCATGTCTCAAAACTAAATTAAGTGAATTCACTCTTAACGGAACTGAAAAGAGATTTGCAAATGCAATGGAAGTTTTGATGTAGAATTTTATGGAAACCTGAAACTGTTGTTTTTTACGAGTTACACATCAAAATCAATAATACATGATACTGTAATCTTGTATAGTGTTTTTTTTTTACTATACTAATTGAGAATCAGAGCCAAAGTTCTTCACTTACTTGAAAGCTATAACAACATCAGTTATCCGCAAACAGGAGAACCCTGTCAACATCAACAGAATGCTGAGGCTATCAAGTCTCTGCGAATGGATATTGGAGGTTCATCATATTCTCAATTGCAAGTAATAACACTGTTTGGATTAGCGGGAAATTGAAATAAGAGGATTTCTTTAACAATAATTGATAGTCGTGACCGCAGAAGATGTTCACGATTTCACGGTTACGCTTTTTCTTGATGATGACAATGTTGCAGTGTCTGCAGATGATAAAAACATCACCGCTGTCACAGGAAAGGATGAAAATGTTGGAGCAGCATTTTAGTGTGCATTAAAAGCTTATTCTATCCTTCACGGGAACATCAAACTTCACAATGCATTCACAGTTATTTTTCTACCTTTGCCGACTTTTGTGGTAGGCCTATCGTCACCAGACACTCCACCATACGGAATAGCAGGACTCTACTGTATAGTAATTATTATAATCTTGGGTTAGTTAAAATTGTATGTATCACAATAACAAGTTAATACAAAATAACCGAGTAATAAAGTTAAGGATTCAAACATAAAAAAATACCATCTTGGCATCGGACGATCTTTGTCAATGTTTTATTTGAGGGGGAGGAAGGCATGTTACAGTTCTCACCAGACATGTGCTATTGATGTTGGCTATCAAAATCATCCAAATCACTGTCACACAAAACAAAAATTAGGTTGTATGAATCAATAGTTATTCTGGTTTTAGCCTACTTATCGGAAACATGGATATTAAATAAGAAATAAGAAAATACCCCCGCCGCAGCAAACCTGCAGACTAAGCGAATTTCCAATTGCCTGATTGGATTTACACTAAATTGTCTCCTTAAAAATATCGCATTTATTCCCTATTTAAATAGAATCAGTTTAACACATACTTAGGTTTGCTGCAACAGGGGGGTAAAAGTGTTTTTTATGTAAAATGTCAATAGTTAGTAAGAAATAAAAACATTTTCCAAATTTGGGCAAAATATGTTAATAAACAAGCAAACTACAACAGTTTACTTATTCTCCATAAGAATAACATGGGAATTTTAAATTTACAATTTTTTGGAATTTTCTCCGTAACCATTAGGCGCATTATAATGCTTCAATATACTAAATTATTTGTTTTTTTAAGCTCTACAAAATAGTTTAGAAATAATTTGCAAAATTCTATGTTTTTTGGGTCAAAAATGGGAAAAACCCATTTTTACCCCATAAAAGCCCCCATAAACCCCCGTTCCCATGGTCCGATCATGCTGGTTCGCGAACTCGTTCGAATAAACGTAGGTTTACACGTTTGTACCAAATTTCATCGAAATCGGATCATTTTTGCTCGAGTTATCGCGCTAACGGACACATATATATATATATATAAATATATATATATATATATATATATAAATATATATATATATATGAATTTGAACGGATGGTATTTTTGGCCTCTAGGGACCTCAAAACGAAAAAAAAAATTGGTCCCGGGTCCAGGTCTTACCATGAGTACTACGGTAATAGCTTATTCCCTATATGGGAAATTCGCTAAAAGCTAATTGTCTTCAAAAACAAAGTCTTGGGGAGGATATGGACCCTCGTATTGACCATGGAGAGTGGAGGAGGAAACTCAATGGAAAATTAGAGACCTAAAACAGTGCAGACATTGTGAGAGAGATAAAATTGTAAAGGACTAAGATGAAAAGCACAAGTGATGAGAAGGGAAGAAACATCTCAACTGAAGATAATCAGTAGAAATAACCCTGCAGGAAGCGACCTCGTGGGTGACCGAAACAGAGGTGATGGGATCAGGTCAAGTCAGGAGAGTTGGAGCCACAGAACAGTACATAGGATTGGTCGAATTGGAGAGGATTTGTTAGTATGGCTAAATATCACCAGCAATATAGATAGATGGTCTGGGAGTAAGTAACTATCAAAATTATAGCAGAGCCTTACTTATAAATGGAATGTATTGGAATTGTAACATCTGAGATGTAAATTCAATTTGTACTAAATTCAGAAATTATCATATTAGGCTGCACCAAATAATTTAATCCAAATTCCAAACTTGAGAATCAGAGCCAAATTACTTCATGCCCTTGAAAGCTGCCTACAATAGTTTTGGAAAACAGGAAAACCCTGTTCTCCTCAACAAAATATAGGAACTTATCAAGTATCTGCGAATGGATATTGGCAGATCATCATGTTCTCATATGCCATAATATTTATTATAATATAAAGCCATACCAATTATGAATCCTAAGTCACGAACATGGTAAAATATAACTTAATTTAATTTAAACTAAAATGAATACACTTCAAAGTTATGGCAGCTCAAAATACAAGAAAAGTTGAGAGGACTAAATATTTTGCAGCAGAATATAGGTAGTGTTAAGAACTCAAGAACTGCCTTAATAATTCGAGAGTCAGAGCCAAACTTCTTCATGCTCTTGGAAGCTACCTGTACTAGTTTTGGAAAATAGGAAAACCCTATTTTCTTCAACATAATAAAGGAACTTATCAAGCATCTGCGAATGGATAATGGCAATTCATCATGCTCTCAAAAATTTTAATTTTAAGTTCATGCATGTTTGTTTTCTACAATTTTGCAAAAAATAAAATACTAAGGATTGTAGTTATTACCTCGTGATTCGTTTATTAATTTTTAATAAGGCATAGGATGTTAGTAGGCCTAGATCTAACAAAACTAAGTTTTGAAATAATACCACCAAAATATTGATGTTGAGTTAAAAGTGACAGACACATTCAACTTGATCAGTCCCAAGCCTTAACCCGACAAAGGTCTTACTGAATTAAATACGTGAGGACACACATACAGTCTTTCTGGCCGGTTGAAATTAAAAAGCCATATTTTAGTAAGCTTTATATTTAAATTCATCAAAACTGTAAAAATAAGAGTAAAATATTTAACTTAGGCCTACAGCCTTCTAAATTTGCTTAAGATAGTAAAACATAAAATGCGACAGTTGTAATAAAATCATTCACCCTAAATTATTAATTATTTGTTTTGTGTAAACCGTTTCTCATATAAATATTGATTATAAGTAGGAATGTGTCGATTCTCTATACAGCAGAATCTATAAACAAAATTCACACACTTTTCCCGGTTTTCCCAGCTAAAAAGTACGAAATTCCTGGCGACTAATATAGACTACTTATAAGAAAAGCCCAATAAAAGTTATAAAAACAAATTAAAACAACAGATATTGGTAAATAAATAAAAACCCCACATATACGTTAATTAGCCCTTAAAGCAAATTAACTCTTAATATTCAATCGACAAATACTGCAAATTAAGGTTAAAAATTAACATGAATGAATTTGACATTTTGCAGAATAAACTTGTACTACTGAGCTAGGCCTCCTGAAGCTGTTTCGAACTGCCGAACGTTACAATTTTCGTGTTATATTTGCCGATAGTTACTTATAATTAACTGTAAACCGGTAAAAAGCCAATAATTATTACAATTAAAACTTTTTCCGAATAAATGTATTTTCAAAAATTAACATAAATGTAGTAGGTACTTTGAAACAAAATTCGTGGTAGAAAATGGTTTTCTTAGGCCTACTGAAGCAGTTTTTAATATTACGTTTTTCACGTTATATTTGCCGATAGTTACTAATGTAACTGTAAACCGGTAAAAAACCAATAATTATTGCAATTAAAATTATGTATTTTCCAAAATTAACTTAACTAAAAGTCAAGGTTAAAACATCAATTCAATCCACAGTCGAGCGTTGATTGGAAATTGTATTGTCATCACATAAATCATTGTGTTGTCTGTCTAGTGTCTACACTCCAGTACAGTTCCGCCATTGATTGCTACACGAACGCACAACGCATTCGCAGCGAATACTTATTGCAGTCAAGGTTAAGTCGATACCGGCAATGGCGGCAATAGTTGCTAACTAGAGCTACAACACAACCGAAGGTATCACCACAAACAATAGGAAATAGAACTATCTGTGGTATTACTAAATGCGAGAATTGAGAGACATTGGCCGCCATATGGACTAGGGGAAAAGTACTTTGAAACTACGGGATTGTGGGATTGCCAATTAGCCAGAGCTGGTTGATTCTTCTAGTGCTACCGACATAACAACATTTTACAATGTCTCAATTTTCTAGCAGAGTTGCTGTGTCAGTGCTACCTCCATTTGGATGCTTTCAGACTAAGACTATTTTGTTTCGTAAAAAGCAAGAGCGGTTCCCTGATTCCGTTTACTTATCAAACTTGGATACGATAAATAACTGAGATCGCACAATAATTTTGAGCCGGCATGAACTACGTCGGTTGTCTGATTCAGAATTCAAACATGGATAATACGAACAACAAAACATTGACCATGGCAACTTCCTTAAAAATATGAGTTTTGAATGGAATCGGTATCAAGAATCGTGAGTAATATTTCAGAACTGGTATAGAATCGAGAAATTCTGTTATCAGCCTATAACTATTTAAAATACAATTAATATTCGACTAGGACGTAATTCAAGCCATGTCCTTGAGTTTTGAGACAGAGTTTGGCTTTGTTCCAGCTATGCGTAGATCGACACTGCTACTTCCCTGCTACACGCTTCATGTTATAGAGCTGGCGGCGAGTCGGCGTATTCTGTCGGCGGACCCGAGATTCTATTCTAGAATCTGGTTAATTTCTTATCTGAATCTTCCGTACATATAAATTCACTATAAAACTTTTCGGATAAATTGGCTCAAAATTGTTAGAACTATAAAATTCCTAGTAAATAAACTAACATAATGATAATAGTTTAAATTCACAGAAAATCCCTGAATAATACCATTTTCACGCATGTTTCCTGAATTTCCTGGTTGCTGACAACCCTGCTATAGCGATTCTCAATAACACCGCTACTAGGCCGTTCGTATCGGTATCGAGAATCGATCGTCAAAAGTCGATTATTATACAGTTACCTATAACGCCAGCGTGATAGCGCAAGACAACTATGACGTTTCCGTGACCACGGGAGACGATGAAGATGTCATCTACATGGCCGCAGGAGATGTTCATGATACGCTGCGATCGCAGAAGACGATGATGAAGTAAAAAACACGGGCGTGTGTGATGTTCATGGTTTTGTCGCGATCGCAGGAGACGATGATGTCTACACAGGTGTAGGAGATTATAAGAATTTTGCCGCAATTGCGGGAGACGATGATGGTGTTTCCATGACTCGGGAGATGATGATGGGGTTTCTGTTACCGCAAAGCAATAATTTAGGATTTTGCAATGATCGCGAAATACAGTGATGATGTTCCCGTGACTGAGGAAGAAATTCAGGATTTTGCAGCAATCTTAGAAGACAACAATGATGTCTTCACGACCGAGGAAGATGATCACGATATTACCTCGAGTTTGGCTTGAGTATAAGGCTGGCACAGCTCTAGTTGTATCAAACATTTTCTTTTAGCGAATTTCCCATACAAGCTAACACACCGCTAGGACTCCTTGAGTTAAAATGAGATCTATCATACAGTAGAACCCCTGTTAACCGAATTAGGGGAGGGAGCCATTTCGGATAACCAATTTTCCAGTTAACCCTTCATATGCTAAGAATAGCCTATGTTATTAACACGTTGAGTTGGAAAAATAAATTTAAAACAATGTCTATTTAGTTCTAGCCTAATACAGTATTTTATTTCAGCTACTGAAATGTTACAAAGGGTTACAAAATACCTTAAACTAAATAACTGTAGTTACTAAAGCATTTTAGATTACAAATTACTTACATTTTAGCCCCGTATTATTTTATGGAACCGTTTCGGTTAACCCGAATTCGGTTGACCAGGGTTCTACTGTAATGCCATGAATGGTAAGAACTAGACTCGGGACCGATTTACAGTTTTTTGTTTTGAGATCCCCTTAGGCCAAAAACACCCTCCGTTCAAATTCATATATATACATATGTGTACGTGTGTCCGTTAGAACTACAACGAAGCAAAAATTATCTGATTGGAAATGATGAAATTTGGTACAAACCTGTTAACTACGTTTATTCTAACGAATTCGTGAACCAGCATGATCGGACTATAGGAAGGGGAATATAACCAACAATTTCTTTCCAAACCACTATGTAGAGCATACGGGGTGTCCAGCAAATGGGCTCGGCCGAATTCCTGCATATTTCCCGAGCAACTTCCATTTTTCCCCGAGGCAGTTTTTTATGGTAAATTTAACAAAAGTTTATCAAATTGAATAGTATATTTTATATGCAATAGGAATAAAATTTTTTTTAGGCCTACACCTGTTCTGCTTTGACTCTCAAGAATTGCTGAATATCTCAAATAAAAAATCCTGCACATTACTGCCATAATTACATCATTTCCGTAATTCCCGCATAGTTTTCGGCGTATAATATTCCCATATATTTCCAGCTTTTTACGGTTTTCCCAGTCGCCGGACACCCTGACTTAAAAATGTAAATTTAAAAATCCCATGTTATTCTTATGAAGGATAAAACTGTTGTAGCTCGCTTGTTTATGGATATATTTTAATCAAATTCATGGTAATTTCGTTCATTAAAATATCTATTGAAACTAAGCTAAGTTATCAACATTTCAGTAAAAAGCACACCTCAATACCTTCCCTGTAGCAGCGAACCTAAGTACTCATTAAAATTAATGTTATTTAAATAAGAAATACATCTGACATTTTTAAGGGAATGTAGTAGAAATCTAGCCAGGTAAATGGTAATTCGCTTGGTTTGCAGGTTTGCTACGGCGGGGAATTTGATTATTGTTGTTAGGTCTCCATGTACCTTTAATATGCTAGTTATTTAAATGTGTTTAGAAGGGTTTAAACTTAAATTGGCTAATTGAATTTTTTCTATTTTATAATAGACAAGTATAGTCGAGTTTGGAGTTAGTGAAGCGTACATTTACATGTCGCCTTATGGGGAAGGTCTAAAAGTCCTAAAGAGCTAAAGAAATGTTTGTAAAGCTTCATTGTACAATTTGCAAATATGAAAAATAAACAGATTTCTTTCTTTTTTTTTTCTTTTAAAAAATCACTTAACAAAATGTCTGTCTTCATGTAAAAGAGTATCAGAGCCAAATTACTTCATATACTTGAGAGCTGCCTACAACAGTTTTAGAAAACAGGAAGACCCTGTTTACTTCAACATTACGTAAGAGCCTATCAAGCATCTGCGAATGGATAATGGCAGTTCATCATGTTCTCAAATCATTATTTTGAAAATTGCCAAATTTACAGTACTCTTATTAAAACAAGTTGAAAAAAAACAGTGTATAAAATCATTGCTAACTGTATTTGTTAGCCCTAAGTTAATTTAGTAGAAACATACTATAAATATCACTTTTCAAAATAACACAGCTTTAGTTTAAAATAAAAACGTACGCCTTGGCCCAAGTCTTGCATTAGATAACATGCCTTTGGATTTTATTGTGCAGCTTATTTCATATGAACTCAGAATTGATAAAAATGGAGGATAGAATTTTGGAGACCATTAAAAAGGAATTTTGAAATTTAAAATTAATTGCCACCCTAAACATGTTATCACAAGATTTGAAGACATACCTTGGATGGATGGATGCCAACATATACACTGGCGCCATTGGCTTTTTCTCTTTGTATCCTTTCAATGTAGATAACAAACTTCTTTCTGTATACTTGGACGACCTTTCCAACTTGCTGACCCTTGTAGTGGCCTCTGACCACCTGCAAACAATATTGAAGTATGAGGATACCAGCAACCAGGAGACTAAGCAAATTTCCATTTGCCTGGTCAAATTTACTCTTAAATATTTACCTAAAACATGTCACATTTATTACCTACTAGCAGAGTACCCGTTCTTCGTGCGGCGTTGGCGTATATGTATAAAATGCTTATTGCAGTTATACTTGGCTTTGCGTTTGCAATGGGAGAGGACATGGTTTAAGAAAATTTGGTTCTTTTAATTTACGGTATATGCTATAGTATACAGTAGCATACAGTAGCACATCTACTATAGCCATAATGTTCTACCACTGCAACTAAACAATAGATAAAGTAAAGTTCTCAATGTATATCACAGCTTTTTCTTGCTAGTTAGTACAAATTCAAAAAGTTTAATAGTGCTGCACCCTGTTGGTAAACCTTATAACTTTTTAACGCTATTTATTATCATAGAACCAACTTGTATAGTTGAAACAGCTGACAAAAATCTTTTATTCCTTTTAAATATAATTACTCATAAGGTTAACATGGGAAACTCCAGAGCCACTGGGGCGGAGCCCGAAAGGACTTTTTAGATAAGAATGTGTCTATATGTTAATCGGGAATGTAAGCTATCATCACACCAAAATTTTAGCCCGATCCGACCAGTATTTTTTGCGTTTACTTGTCACAAACATAGGCCTACATACATACATCCAAACTATTTCATTTATAATATTATATATATACTAGCTGACCCGGCGAACTTCGTATCGCCTAAGTTATAGGTTTTCCCTAAGACAGACCGATGGAAAGAAAGTACCGTTACGTTTAATTTTCAAGATGATCTCGTTCGCATCGCTCAATCACGTCCTGGTTGAAGTTCGTTCGCTACGATCACTCACCTTTGGGTTGGAGCTCGTTCGCTACGCTCACTCACCTTTAGGTTGGAGCTCGTTCGCTGCGCTCACTTGCCTTCAGGTTAGCTCGTTCGCTACGCTCACTCGCCTCCAGGTTGACGTTCGTTCGCTACGCTCACTCACCTTTTGGTTGCAAATTACCCTAGCTGTTGTCATAAATGTAAAAGAAATAATAGTGCTGCACCCTGTTGGTAATCCTTGTAACTTTAATGCTATTGAACATCATAGAACAGAACCAACTTGTTTAATTGAAACAGCTGTTAAGATTCATTAATTCCATTTCTCATAAGGTTAACATGGGAAACTCCAGAGCCACTGGGGTGGAGCCCTTTTAAGAATTTCGAAACGGGAAATAGTTTACGTCCGATTCGCATACCTACAGAATTTACACACCAAATTTCATAACGATCGGTGAAGTCGTTCCGGAGGAGTTTGCAGACAAACACTGTGACACGAGAATTTTATATATTAGATATGTAGTATAGTATAGTAAGATTTGCGTAAGGTAGGCTAATCTTATATATTAAAAAAATTGGGTTTTCTTTTCCGAGTTTGTTTGGCTCTTCTACCCGACCGATTTTCATGATTGAGGTCTCAAATTGAAGGTATGCACGCACAGATTTGCCATCAAGCATTGGCATATATTTATCTATAACCCCACTTGGCTTATACGTTAACAAAATTTGCTCTCCATGTATTTCTTATGGGAGTTAAATTTGGTTTCTCTTTGCCGAGTTCGTTTGGCTCTTCTACCCGACCGATTTTCATGATTGAGGTATCAAATTGAAGCTATGCACGCACAGATTTGCCATCAAACATCGGCATATATTTATCTATAACCCCACTCGGCTTATAAGTAAACAAAATTTGCTCCCCATGTATTTCTTATGGGAGTTAAATTTGGTTTCTCTTTTCCGGTTTCGTTTGGCTCTTCTACCCTACCTACTTTCATGATTGAGGTCTCAAATTGAAGCTATGCACGCACAGATTTGCCATCAAACATCGGCATATATTTATCTATAACCCCACTTGGCTTATACGTTAACAAAATTTGCTCTCCATGTATTTCTTATGGGAGTTAAATTTGGTTTCTCTTTGCCGAGTTCGTTTGGCTCTTCCACCTGACCGATTTTCATGATTGAGGTCTTACATTGAAGGCATACACGCAAAGATTTCACATCAAGCATCGGGCATCGAAGTAAATGCATCGGCATGTCTAAACTTCTATTTCTCTATTTATGTGTATTTTCAAAACTGACCATAGGCCTAATTATTGAAGCCCTTCATATCCAAACTAGTTGCCGCAAACCGATTTCAAATAGCTCAAATAGTTAAAAAGTTAAAGGGGGTGCAAGTTAATTTGTTTGCCATCCTCATGGTTATTTGGATTTGAAACGTTTTAGGGCGTCATTTTGTTATTAGTGGGCTGATTTTGGTTTTCTTTATGTCAATTTTTATGTTTCGTCAAGACCTGTAAAATGATACCTAATTGGACTATACTTGTCATTTGAAAGTTTTGAGCTACCCCTACCCCCAAGGGCAAAATTGACCATAATTATTGTAGCCCCTCATATCTAAGAATGTTGTCGCAAACAGATTTCAAATATCTCAAATGGTTGAAAAGTTAAGGGGGATGTAAGTTACTTTTCAGCCACTCTGTATATATATATATGAATTTGAACAGATGGTGTTTTTGGCCTCTAGGGACCTCAAAACAAAAAATTAATCGGTCCCGGGTCCAGGTCTTACCATGAGTACTACGGTAGTAGCTTATTCCTTATATGGGAAATTCGCTAAAATACAGTAAATAATATAAGTTATATAAAAGAAGGCGATGGTGATAGATTTTTATTGGATAAATATAGGTCTCAAGTGTAATTTTGTCTAAACATTGTATATTTCATGTTTTAGATCTAAGTTATGTGACGATTGTCAATACGCTGTTTTTTTTGTGTTTCAATGACAATAAATATTCTTGATTCTTGAATTAAGTTCTAAGACAAATTTTTGTTTACTCTCCGATTGAGTTACATAAGCTAAAACAAAACAGTAAATTGGTCCTTGGACTAGAGGTACTGTACCCCCTATGGTAACATTGCTACAGATTGTTGACTATGGTTAGAAAATTGATAAAACTCTATTTAAAAAATATATATATAAAAAACACAACTAAGTTAGCAGCAAGTTATATAGGAAGGTAGTATAAGAAGTAAACTGCATAAAAGTATGACTGTAGCGTACATTATAACAATATGTAGGCTAGCTCATATCTAACATAAGCCTACTGATTGTTTTCCAAATTTTGCAGGGACGGATGAAAACAACGATATAAAATTACTGGACTTCCATGGTCTTACCTCCTTCGGAAAAGATATTCTTGCCAATAAGGTCCAAATCCATAATTTATAGGCCTAAGGGGGCTTAAAATCAATAACTCAATTCCAAAAAATAATTAAATTTAACAAAGGCCTAGCTCTAAAATATAAATAACTTGTCTCACATATCGTCTAGTGACTACCAATTCAAAAATTAATTTTAAAAAGGATTTAATTTTAATGTTTACTTAAAAATAGGTTTAAGTTTACCTGCACTTCATCATCTTTTCTGATGGGCATGGTTCGGACATTGTACTTCTGCCTCAATTCTTTGGAAAGAGGAGCAGACATGAGGCGTCTCCTGATGTGGGAAGGAGCGGAGAAATGACGCTTGCGCGCCTTCCTACGTGAGGATGACACCATAGGATTGAACTTCATGGTGGCTATAGGTAGGACAAATAAAAAAATTATTTAACTTCACTTTTAAGGGTAAAATAAAACAGTCACCATAGGTCTACTAAATTTTCTACAGTGAAGCCTTAATCTATAGGCCTAACTATAACACACTTTACAATACCTACCATTACTATACCTACTAAAATGGGTATTAACTGGTGCATACAGGCTATTGAGGACTAGATGACAGGCTAAGTTAGTAATTTAATCATGCTGTCATATACGTAGATTTGATATGAAAATTGTATTTCGCTTCAAGGCCTGACAAACTTGATGACTGTTGCTCTGCTCAGACTTAAATTGTGTTTAAAATGGTTTACAATACCTGCATATAGTAATCCTTTGTTGACATTGACAAACGATCGTGACCGGGCTGAGGTAAAGGTCAATGTCCCTTTGTGTTTTTCGTGTTTTTTGTAATGTGTGTCCGTTCCGTGTATCGTGTTTTGTATATGTTTTATTTATTGAACTCTGTTAACGACCTTCGAATGAAGTGATCACTTGACACATTGAGGCCTGAAGATGGTCCAAAACAAGAACCGAAACTAGTTGCCTAAATCAGCAACAAAGGATTACTATATGCAGTTATTGTAAACCATTTTAAGTATAATACAGTAATCCGGAAGCTAAACAACTATTTTTAAAATTAAATTGTGTACGATAGGCTAATCGGACGAGACCTATTGTAAACAATGTAGACTATTTGATTAGTGGTTAATATATTTCTTATTCTTTGGCAATAACTTAGGGCCTACTAATGAATTAAAAAGTTATTGGCCTAAACTTAATTTGCATTAAATTCAAATGAAATAAATATCTTTTCAGAAAATAATAAGGTAGGCCTATGCATTTTGACATTTTATATACCGGTAGGTTGTAGGTAGGCCTACAGTTGTCATATTTACAGATTTGAAATAGGCTACAGAGTGCCGTGGCCGCCGCGGCGTCTGATGACTACTACGCCGTAGCCAGTGTTGGGAAGTAGCGCGCTACAAGTAGCGACGCTACAGTAGCGCGCTACTTTTTTTGTAGCGTTAGCTGTAGCTACGCTACTTTTAAGATTTTGTAGCTTTAGCTGTAGCTAGCTACATTTTTAAAGTAGTTTTAGTGGAATTTTAGCTACTTTTCTCGCTATATTAACATTTGTTTAAGATAGTGATTCTTATCATAACCTCAACCTTACGTGAAACAACCTCTTTCAAACTGAGATTTTCAAAAAAAATTAGGCCTACTTTCTTGGCTTCAAACAGCTGGTTGCAGCTGTTTCATTCCCTATTACAACGTTGTGTGGACATAGAGGCCATTAAATGAGTGTTATCCACATTTTTGGCTCTCATTATTCCTTAATTTACTACTCTATGATTACTGTCAGATAAAATAAAATCGCTAGATGCAGACGACGTTTAAACGGTACCGGTGACAAGAGAAGCTATAAGCTATTGAATTGAATGCTTGCAAGTGATTGACAGGACAGGGGAATTAGTAATCAATTTAGTTTCTTTATTATATCGATAATGCTTCAACTTGGGGTTTAATGGAAACCAACACACCTTGAAATAATGAGAAAGCTGGTCTATCAACCTTTGCTTCAGCTGTTGATTGTGGTTTATCATCACAAGCCCTTCCTTGGTTAGATTACGAAGATTTTTCAAAGGTTTACTAAATTAGCAAAGAGGAAATTACCTGATGAGATTTAAGATATGCCTAGACTACATGATAGTTGTAATGAAAAAATCTCCATATAACATGAAACTTACATTGAAAAAATAGCATAGTTTGCTCCTGCTAACAGCTCTTGTATAGGACTGAGGCTATGGTTTAAGACGAATACCAAGTTCAATTATTATGAATATATCTGTTTAGTCCTTGCAAGAACAAGCCTACTATAGCCAACTTGTTACATAGCCAAGTAGGCCTACATGTTATTTTTACTTTACAAATTTCATCATGTTTAAATTAAAAGCCGATTTCAGGATAAGTTGCTGAATACTGTTTTCCCTACCAACTAGGTTGAAGCACAATTTGCCCTATGCATAATGACAATAAAGGACGATTTCTTGACATTGAAAAGTGTTATTCGTAGAATAAGTAATTTATCACTTTAAAAGTTATAGCAATGTTGTTTTTAACATTAAAAGTAAAGAAAGGCAATAAACTCCAATTTCAGTAGGCTAGGCTCTGTAACACAAAAAGTATTTTTAAATAAGTTAATCTTTTTGCAGTTTTAGCGAATTTCCCTATAGGGAAGTAGCTATTACCGTAGGTCTCATGGTAAGACTTAGGCCCGGGACCGATTTACTTTTTCATTTTGATGTCCCCAGAGGACAAAAACACCATTCGTTCAAATTTTTATATATGTATATAGATATATATATATATATATAAATTTATATATATATGTGTCCGTGAACACGATAACTTGAGTAATTTTTATCCGATTTTGATTAAATTTGGTTAGAAGGTGTAAGGCGGGATAATCTTGAATGAGTTCGCGAACCAGCATGATCGGACCATGGGAACAGGGTTTTATGGGGTAAAAATTGGTTTTTCTCACTTTTGACCCTCAAAACACAAAATTTCCCAATTTTTCTCTAAACCTTCTTAAATAGCTTAAAAAAACAAACAATTCAGTATATCAAAGTGTTTTTGTACAGTTATTAGTTACTGAGAAAACTAAAAAAATTGTAAATTTAAAATTCCCATGTTATTCTTATGGAGAATATTGTAAAATGTTGTAGTTTGCTTGTTTATGGATATCTTTTGATCAAACTTGGCAAATATATTCATTTTCTACTAAGCAATAATTATTTTACTTAAAACACACACTTTATTAGTTTCCTTGTAGCAGCAAACCTAGGTACTCGTTAAACCTAATGTTATTTAAATAGATGGATTGAAAATTAATTTAGCCAAATGGAAATTCGCTTAGACGGCAGGTTTGCTGCGGCGGGGGTATTATTGGTCTTAATTGTTGATATAAAACATCTATAAATGAATCTATATTAAATTAATAAAATTAGCTTTTAAAATATAGTTTGGTTGTATGTCTTTTGAACTTAATGAAAATTACATTTTATGATGCTTAAAAATAATGCAATATTTAAAAATTATTACTAAATATGATGGGACACCCAACTATTTGGTTCTGTTGTTGTAATGTTAGGTTTATAATGCCAACAAATTAAATACAATCTAGGAATAATTTGTTTTCCAAGTAATGTTAGATACAATACTGACATTTTTTTAAATGTCTGTTCAATAAAAATGTAGTTGCAATTAATTTTACATTTACCTAATGTGCGTGGAATAAAAATTAACGTCTTTGGAAAAGTAGCTAAAATTGTAGCTGTAGCTACATTTCATTGTAGTTGTAGTTGTAGCTAGCTACTTTTTCGGAACTGTAGCTGTAGCTGTAGCTAAGCTACTTTTTTGGAAATGTAGCAGTAGTTGTAGCTAGCTACATTTTAAAAGTAGCTTCCCCAACACTGGCCGTAGCACAGGACAGCTGTTGCTATTGTTTCTGACTCCATTCGGTTGTTGTTTGTGATTATGTGAATTATCACTTGTTATGCTTTTTTGGAACAAATTAAAATAAGTTGTGAGAAACTTAGGGTAATTTAGGCTACGTTCAAATTCACCCGTCAGTGAAAATATGTTAGCAAATTTTGCAGAGAAGCCTAAAATTGATTTTGAAGTGGTGACAAAGGAAACTACTACGATGTTATTTTTGGGCTCAAGGGACCTCAAAAGGTAAAGATTGGTCCCGGTCCAGGTCTTACCATGGGTACTACAGTAATAGCTTATTCCCTATATGGGAAATTCGCTAAATAAATGCACTTCAAAGTTCAAAAAAATTTGTTAAATAATAAATATAATTTAACGCAAAAAAGTAAGCTACAAAACCAGTCATTTAAAAACAGCTGCGTTAATCCGTGCTCTCGCTGGTTAAACCCTCGGCAAGTTATTCTCCAAAAGGATAGTGAAAAGTATTGCTTGTGCATTTTCGATATCGTTAAGTTATTTCATTGTGTTTCACCCACTATTTAAGTTAACTTAATTGTGCAAAAACAGTCTGGAAGTTGCATAAATTAATGAGTCGGTTCATTATAACCTAACCTTTACCTTCCTAATCTAACCTCACTTCAAAACACTTAATACAGTCTCGAATCCGCATAAAACCCGACCTACCTTCCTCACATGCCTAAATAAGAACTGATTAGTGACTATTTGGTTTCAAAAATCAAAACGAATTGATTTGATTTCATTCCGCATTAGATCAAGTATAAATAGTTGTTTGCTCTTCTCACTCAGTCCTCCTCACTCAGTACGGACCCGTCCAGTCCAGACCACGCCATATTACCATTACCTTCAATACCGCTCAATTATCCTTAGCTAAGATTCGTAATCCTAACCTTCGTTTTACGGCCACTACGGCAACTTAGGAATCTCTCCCACAAAAACTAATTGCATTTTTGGATTCAGCGTTAAAATTACTGCAAGTAGACATATAAAAATTACATCATATCCCAATGTAAATACAGTAAATATTTGCCTTCTGAGAATCTGACTAAGTTAGGCTATTAGCATACAGAAACCCATTATTACACCTGTAACGTTTTGCAGCTATAATTTATAGTTAACTTATGTTTATTTACCTTATTAATATTCTAAAAATTCCAGACCAAGTAGCTACTGTATCTTAAATAGCCTAGCCTAAGTAAGTTGTAGGCCTAGAACTATTTTAGCCTATACTAATTAATTGATTGCAAAGTAATATTTTATTTTTATTTTTATCACATAATAGCCTAGTTGTATAAAAGCTACTTATCCTTTTAAGATAAAATTACAAATTACACCTATAATGTTGTAGCCCATCAATTTGTGAACAAGGTAGCCTATAGGCTAGGCCTATACAACTACATAGGCCTAGATAGTTTTTAGGAATCCTGCAAATCAATAAAAAAACAGCTTGATACCAAGGTGTTATTGCTTGACACTTTCATGGAGGGCTGGATTAACTTCGTTTAATTGATCAAATTATCCTAGCACAATGTGATAGCTAACTTGGTGGCACATTGAAGGCTAGGCCTACCCTAAGATTGGTCTGTTTTTAAACACTACAGAGTATTACTACAAGACCTGTTAGTGCGTTATAGTAAATATTAACTTACTATTACCCATTGAAAAGACTACAATTTAAATTAAGCAATCAAAGTAAACCTGTGTGGTGTATTTGGTCCTATGTTGTGACTGTGTATATCTGTATAGGCATTATCATTGGGCCTATTGAGGTTATACCATCAACCTAATAAAATAACTCATAAAATATAGTTTGGATATTTATTTGATAGCCCTTTACTGAGAGTTATGAGATAATACAGGTTTGCGAAATACAGTACTAAGGATTAATTAAAACAGAAAAAGATAAGTAATTATCACAACTTACCGAAATACTTTGGCTGTATTCGCTCTGCAACAGGAAGCTAAAAGAAGAAGAAGAAAACATCGGATCGGAACTGTACGTTTTAAAAGTAAGTCGAATCGAAATCTGAATGTTGTGAGTGTAGAGGCATGGCATGACTACAGATACTATAGCAATACATGGCAATAATGGATTTAAAGGCGGCTGTGCTTTTGCATCACTAGCGTTAGTTAGTTAGTTACATGTGTTATATAATAATTAGTAAAGTACATAAACAGATATATCATTGTAATCTGCATAAAATTTACTAGCTTTTACATGTCTTGCAAATACCTATATATATTTTTTAATAGACGGTTTTCATTGATTTTTTGGCATAAAACATGCTGCTATATTTGGCATGAAATATATTGCCGCCATTTGTAAATTGTTCCAGAGTTTTGGTTGATATTTTTCACAAACATAGTGCTCATTAGATAACAATTTTTACAGAATTTCAACCATGTAATTCAACCAGTTATAAAGGAGAAGTCCTACAAAGAAAGATATTTATGATAACCCAACCTAACATAACCACCGCAGCGCGCAGTATAAGGGTGGCCCCCGGATAATACCAAAGTACCTATTGCTGATCGAAAGGTCCAAACTCGTTATACACCCTATCGGAAGATCCAAAAGGTGTATATTGCAGATCGGAAGATCCAAAGATCAATAGATCAAAAAGTACAGTCATAACAAGGAATAAAATTTTACATTGTGAAGTAAACTTTAAAAGACTGTACGTTTCACTTTGGACTTCCGATCGTGGTTGGGTCAGAAGATCCAAAAAGTATTATGACAGATCGGAAGATCCAAAAGTATTAACTATTGCGTATCTTAGATTGAAGGCGTTCAAATACACATATAGGATGAAAAAGTAATAATTAATTAATTTAAAAAACATTACATGAGAAAACAAAATACCCCCGCCGCAGCAAACCTGCAGACTAAGCGAATTTCCATTTGACTGATTGGATTTACACTGAAATGTCTACTTAAAAATATAACATTTATTCCCGATTTAAATAGAATTAGTTTAACAAGTACTTAGGTTTGCTGCATCAGGGAGGGTAAAACTGTTTTTTTTTGTAAAATGTTAATAGTTAGTAAGAAATAAAAACATTTTCCAAATTTGATCAAAATATGTTCATAAACAAGCAAACTACAACAGTTTACTCATTCTCCATAAGAATAACATGGGAATTTTAAATTTACAATTTTTTGGAATTTTCTCCGTAACCATTAGGCGCATAATAACGCTTCAATATACTAAATTATTTGTTTTTTGAAGCTCTACAAAATGGTTTGGAAATTAATTGCTAAATTTTATGTTTTTTGGGTCAAAATTGGGAAAAACCTATTTTTACCCCATAAAACCCCCCGTAAACACCCATTCCCATGGTCCGATCATGCTGGATCGCGAACTCGTTCGAATAGACGTAGGTTTACACGTTTGTACCAAATTTCATCAAAATCGGATCATTTTTGCTCGAGTTATCGTGCTGACGGACACACATATATATATATATATAAATATATAAATATATATATATATATATATATATTTATATATATATATATATATATATATATGAATTTGAACGGATGGTGTTTTTGGCCTCTAGGGACCTCAAAACGAAAAAAAAAATCGGTCCCGCGTCCAGGTCTTACCATGAGTACTACGGTAATAGCTTATTCCCTATATAGGAAATTCGCTAAAAGAAGGCACGAGGCTATGATGATACATTCAACCAAATGCATTCAATTAAGTATTTGCTTATCGTTACTTGGTTCTTTCTTCGTCCAAGTTTTTCACATGTATAGTTTACTCTTATTATTGTTACATTTAAAATTCCTTTCCTTCCATTACTATTATATATAGGCTATCTAGTCATAATGAGCAATTTACAACTCAATATAACTGTAAAATTGGTGTAAATCCGTTGGCAAATAAATAAATGAACAAATAAATAAATAAATGATGACGTGTATTAAACGCCTTCAATATGAGAGACGCAATAACTGATCTTTTGGATATTCCGATGTGACACATGCATTTTGGATCTTCCGATCCAACTAAGATCGGAAGATCCAAAAGTGAAACGGACAGTTTATTTTATAAGTTTACTTCACAATGTAAAATTGGCTGGTCATGACTGTGCTTTTATCTACCGATCTTTTGGATCTTCCGATCTACAATTTAAACGTTGGATTTCCGTTTTGGATTTACCAATTGGGTATATAACTATATTTGATCTTTCCGATTTTGGATCTTCCGATCGGGTATATATATATAACTAAACTAAACTATTGAATTTTCTGATCGGCAATATATAAACTTTAGATCCTCCAATTTTCGATATTGAGAAATATTTCTTGAACAACGTGACAAAGTTTGCTCACATGGCTGAAATACACCCTGTAAAATAGCATATAACTATATTCATGCTTTAGTCACAACAAACATTTTCATATTTTAAAATAGTATTTAAGTGTCTGTGTTGCTCGGTGTGTAAACAGTTACCAAATTTCTTAACCAATGTATAATACAAAACTTATTTGGTCCTGAACCAAAACTATATAGCTTCATCTAATAATATACAAAAACAGTTCCTTACTAACTAACAAAAGGGTATGTGGTATGTTTGATCTATGCTTTTCCGGTAAACAAAATAAATTGTAAGAGAAGTCGTAATTTGAAATCGCTCAATAGTGGTGTAAAATGTTTTACAGCTTATAAGAAAAATCTCTTGTAAGGATTCAATTATATGGGCACGGCTAAATTAAACTCCAGGGCACGGCCTGTTAGAATTGGCAACGTCGCAAGTAGTGTTGTTTAGCACCCGACGTCTCATATAAGATAACATGGCAGACAGGTGACAACAGCAACAGCTCATTAATTCGTGTTTTATTAACTTAAAATTATAAACAAAATTATTAATAAAATACCCCCGCCGCAGCAAACCTGCAGACTAAGCGAATTTTCATTAACCTGATTGGATTTACACTAAAATGCCTCCATAAAAATAGCACATTTATTTCCTATTTAAATAGAATTAGTTTAACGAGTACTTAGGTTTGCTGCAACAGGAAGGGTAAAACAGATTTTTTTATAAAATGATAATAGTTTAGTAAGAAATAAAAGTATTTTCCAAAATCGATCAAAATATGTTCATAAACAAGCAAACTACAACAGTTGACTTAGGCCTATTCTCCATAAGAATAACATGGGAATTTTAAAATTACAATTTTTTAGAATTTTCTCCGTAGCAATTAGGCGCATAACAACGCTTCAATATACTAAATTATTTGTTTTTTTAAGCTCTACAAAATAGTTTAAAAAGAAATTGTGTGTTTTTAGGGTCAAAAATGGGAAAAACCTATTTTTACCTCATAAAACACCCCCATAAACCCCCGTTCCCATAGTCCGATCATGCTGGTTCGCGAACTCATTCAAGTTTATCCCGCCTTACACCTTCAAACTAAATTTTATCAAAATCGGACAAAAAATACTCAAGTTATCATGCGGATGGACACACATATATATATCCCTAGATATATAAAAATTTGAACGAATGGTGTTTTTAGCCTCTGGGGACATCAAAATGAAAAAGTAAATCGGTCCCGGGCTTAGGTCTTACCATGAGACCTACGGTAATAGCTACTTCCCTATAGGGAAATTCGCTAAAATTGAAAATAAAACATATATTGAATTGAAAACGAAATAGTTATTTGTGCAACTAGTGAGCAAAGGCAGCAATTGAACTTTGCACTCGAGCTGCACATTATATTTTTCCTACAGTTACCATAAAACAAATAAATTGGTAAATAAACGTGACATATTTTTACACAGAAGTGAACTTTTAAAATGACATTTAATGATACAACAATAAAACAGCTGACCAGCTAATTTACAGCCAGTGCTGCCAACGTATTTCGCGCGCATACGACCTTGTCTGCATGTTACGTGCTCACTATTTCGTGGCTTCACGTTGCAAATCTGGAGCGAGTGAGACAAAGTAATTAGAGTGAGACAATGTTAACATTGTCTCACTGATGAGCGAATTGACCACTTTGCTTTCTTAAATCAGTGAGAGAACATGTACATTGTTGGACTATGAAAATGTTTACCCCGCTTTAAATGTACAGATATTGTAAAATTTTTATTTTCAATCCATATTGTTTTGGTTTTCAATTCTGAATATTTTATTTTCAATATTTTAATAAATTTATGTTCATAAATTTCAATTTAAATCAATAAAGTGCGAATTTATGAAGCTGACGTCACTTGCCTGCCATGTTATCTTATGGGACGTCTGACACTAAACAGCCCTATACTTGCAAAGTTGCCAATTCTACCAGGCCGCGGCCTGTAGCCGTGGTAACAACACTAGCCAAGTTGCCACTTCGAAGCAGGCTGCGGAGAGTTAAAGGTTTCCGTAACATGGGGCAATCTAATAATAAACGCAACAGATGACTTTAAAAAATTCAAGAGTTCCAATACTAAATTAATAAAGTCAATTAACATAAAATTTAAATATTTATCCTAAAACAATTTTCCAAGAAATATTTACGAGTAAATGTAATTTTGTTGTACTTATTTTACTTGTGTTTTAACTTCAAAATGCATTTTTAAGTACTTGCATTTTACTTGTAATAAATTAATAAATTATTTAAGATGGGGACGCCACTATGTGCGTATTTCCAAATATGAGTAAAGGATGAGTGTAGGATGAGTGGCGTGATCTTGTAGTCTTGCTAGTGACTAAGGCCGACTTATTTCTCAGACACAGCTATTAATTAATAGCCCAAAAAATAATGGCAACCAAGGGACCCACAGTTTATAGTGGAATTCGAACCACATTCTTGCCTTGGTATTAACGATTTGGTTAATTTATCAAGATAGTACAGCGGATAGTCGTAGTACTCACTAGTGCGGGCGTTAATCTTCACCAGGGAGTATCACATCCACAGTGCATCTATATAAATATCCACAATTTGTGTGACCTCCTAGTAGCTGGATTACAGGATTACGCCACCGTTTGTGTATTACTTGTATCATAAATAAAACATACTCCTTGTACCTTACTTTTCATTCCATATTTTTGTTGTTGTGTGCATGTGTCCTTTGCATATTTTTTACATATAAATATTGTAATTTCCGTGTGATTCATCCTCGATTTCATGCAGAAAAGGGAATAAGTGGATATGTAAATATAATTATACCGTATAAATAAAATTGAAAATCACAGACAACTGAGCAAATCAGAGTTTCATGAAACCGCAGTACGAGTGGTTTAGCCTGCCTTTAGTAAAGAATGACAACGTCGCAGACGACACGGACTTTGGATGGATTGGACTGACGGAACGGACCAATCAACGGAATCCAACCAATCCCAATTGCCAATTCCCAACCCAATGAGGCCGGCTTGGATTGGAATTTGGTGGTACAGGAAAGCCGCCCACGTCTGTCGAAGTTTGAAGTTAGGTTAGGTTTGTGTTATGCACGAAGTTGCAATTACAAAATAATCTACTAATCTACTAGGCCCTACTCCAAAAGTTTGGTTGTATTGCTGGATGTTATTTTTCAGTAGTTAGATTTATTAGTGTGAAACTGCCAAGTGTACTATTAATTAACTTAAGATCATTATAAACACTTAACTTAGTTAGCCTATCCAAAAAGCAGCATGTCACTAGGCCTAGAGAATAATCTAGAGAATGCAACAAACAGATTATCATTAACTGATTGCCAAGAAGAGGAGAGTGATATTGTTGATCCATGGAATGTGCAGAGTAGAAGCCAAACTGGGGTTGACTACGACAAACTTGTTGGTACGGTAAATCAATTTCACAATTATTTTAAGTAGGCTAGGCCTAGTCTAATTTTTAAAATAAATATTTACAACAACACAAATTAGGGTAGACCAAAAAGGACAATAGGGTAGGCAAACTTGAATCTTATGCCTACAATGGGAAAATAGACCTAGGCCTAAAACATGTCAAACAAAACTGACCATGTTGACTACAGAGGTTATGTTCACTCTACCATTTGATCTCTGAGGGAAGCTTGTTAAACAACTTCCAAGAAAAAGCAGGGAAACGGCGCTAAGTAGGTGTTCCTGTGAGCTGGAATCTTAGAATACCATATCAATTTTGCTTCTCCTGCGTGTAACTTTGGGCCTAGTAATGAAAATGTCCTCTGGTCTTTAGTACCGGTAGCTCAATATTCAATCTGACACGTATAAAGGAGGAGAATAAATGGCTACTGACCGATACCATTACACTTTCAGCCTTCTAAATATTTTTTTACAATCTACCACAGAAGCACTGGACATTATGGCTCTCGAAGCAGATTTTTGTAGCCTTAGTACGGTACTTCAACACATCCTGAAGCTTGGCCTCAGTTATGTATGCCATAGATTAAATTACCATGGAACAGTCAGGATTGATGGTTATTAGGAAGGCTCACTTATGCTTACTCTTCAGTAGGCCTATACGCAGCATGTATACCATTCAAGGTATCTTTTTACATAAGTTAGGCCTATTTAATTTATTTGAGGTTGCTAACTTAATTTTCTCTCTATGGTGAAGCCCAAAAGTTTAACTTAACTTGTTGGGTTTGGTGGTCTTGTAATGTAGCAAATTCTTGACTTAAACTGCAAAATATCTGTCGTGTTTTATTTGTATGATCCATAAAAGCTAGCACTGGAGTGTTTTATATTAGCAGTAGGCCTACCTACATTACATTGACAACTGTGTTAGGTCACAGAAAACATAGGTACTAACTTAGCCTACTATAACCCAGAGTCAAACGCATGGTAAAAAGCGTTACGGTAAGTATTTTGAGAGAGCTTTGCCTGTTAATTCGTAGGCAGCGCCACCATAAGTCATAAGTATTTATTTGCCTTTAAATACAATAAGTACAATAGGTTCTTCATTTAAATAAAACATGCAAAATCAAATCCATCAACAAATGCAAAATAAGTAAGCTCTAGTCAAAAAGCAAAACAAAAATACATGCACAAACCATGCAGGTGTACCTGAAAATGACTCACATGGTTACCACTAGATTGCTTTTGTCACAGTTGAAAAATTCGGAGATATGGTAGAAAGGATTTTGAGTGAGCCAATTTTTTACAAAAGTAGAGAATTTTTTTTATGTCAATTTCTTGTAGGCTACATTGAGGCAATTTGTTGAAAAGTTTAATGCCTGAAACAGGAAAAAACACATTGATTTGTGAAGCCTAGGTACAAAGATATCAAACTTATTCCTAGTACCTATCATAACTATGTACATAACTATTTGCAATAAGAGAATCTTGTCTGGGTTTTATTGACACGAGACACTGAAAAATATATTAATTTACAATTGTTAAAATTTAATTTTCAACAAACAAAGGTCTGCAATGGTCAAGGTACCCAGCATTTGAAATTACTCTAACAGCTCTCTTTTGAATTAATAGAATTCTCTGAGTACCAGTGGCATGGCCCCATAGCCTGGCTCCTGGAAGAAAGCATGGTAGGTAGGCCTGCCTAACTGATGGCCTTGGAAGCTCAGACATTAGCTTTCTAAGCAGGAACAACACTCTGCTAAGTCTCTTACACAGGACATCTATGTGGTCTTCCTGAGCTGAGTGCATAGCAATGCTGGTGGCGCTGCCTACGAATTGACAGGCAAAGCTCTCTCAAAGTACTTAACGCTTTTCACCATGCGGTTGGCATTCTGGGTTATAGTAGTATGTTTTCTGTGGTTAGCCCTTCTATTTGAGATGTAGTAGGCCTATTCGTAAATGAAAAAAGTTTTAGGGTGAAGTGCAGTAAGTGGAACCAAGTTTTAGCATAGTTCAACTTTGACTTTACATTGCTCAGGTAATATTATACTTGTAATTTTGCCTTGGAGCTTTTCCAGATGCCATTTGTCACTGGGCTATCAATAATTATTGATGCTATCTTAGAAAAAGCTTGACTTTGTATATAGGCTGGGCTAGTAACAAGACCAGGGGTTGGATTGTTCCCTTGAAAAAATGATCACTGGGGTAGAAAATAAGATACTTGGATACTTGGAGAATTCCCACTGGTATCGCATCAGCGACGTGGTCGTCAGGTTTTTATACATTTCTTGATATTAATTTATATAAATGGATTCATTTCCTCTTCAGGGATGTACATGGCCTGGACATATATTTCATGAACACTGTAGTAGGTCGCTTGACTTAAAAATGTTTTTAGCAGGTTCTTGAATTTGTTGATAGAGGGCTCTTGCGTGATGTACTGAGGAAATTTATTGTAAATTTTTATACTATTGAAGTAAGGGCTCTTGCTTGCAAGGGTGGAATTTACTTGAGGTACATGTGGATTTGTTGCTCTTCTTGTATTGTAATTGTGGACCATGCTGTTAGTTACAAAAATATTGGGATTCTTCTTAACAAGCAATGCAAATTCCAATACAAGAGGGATGGAAGTGTGAGAATGTTCAGTTCTTGGAACAAAGGTATACAGTGTGTCCGTCTATGGACTCCACATATTCTTCTAATTGCACGCTTTTGAAGGATGAAGATGCGTTTTGCCTCACTACAACCACCCCAAAATACCAAACCATATGAGATTATGCTATGAAAGCAGCCATAGTAAACCTTACGGAGAATCTCGTTGTCAACCAGCTTTTGTAGTCTAAACAGCAGGTAGGTGACAGATGACAGTCTGGGCGCTATTGCATCGACATGTGTTCCCCAATTAAGGTTCTCTGTAATGTGTAGGCCCAAGTATTTGGTTTCACTACAGGTTTCAAGTGGCACCCCGTCCAAGGTCAATATCGGAGGTGGTTCAAGCTTCTTCCTGTTATAAAATTCCATTAATTTGGTTTTACTAGAATTTAGGACCAGATGATTTTTGCTACACCAAGTTGACATTTCAAGCAAGCCAGTTTGGGCGTTTTCAATCGTGATGTTTCGATTTGGGCTTGGGACTAGGTGACAGGTGTCATCGGCAAAAAGCCATAAATTTCCAAAGGATATGGAGCCAGGCAAGTCATTCACTGTAAGATAATAAACTAAATACAAAAATAACCTTTTGCAGCTTTTAATTTATTAAATATTAATACAAATTAACATCCAATGTTTCAGAAAGGTTCGGGAGCTCAAAAATTGATGAAGAACTCCTCACTCGCTGGAAAAAAGTAACAGGGAAAGATGTCCATCCATTATTGAGACGGGGAATCTTTTTCTCACATAGAGACATGCACACCATTCTAAACTTGAAAGAACAAGGAAAGCCGTTTTACTTGTACACAGGAAGAGGTCCATCATCTGATGCTATGCATTTGGGCCATCTGATACCATTTATTGTTTCCAAGTAAGCCTAGTTCATGTGTGGATTTGGTTGATAATAACTTAACTCATGCCAACATGGATAAAAGTATCAGCATGATAGGCCTTCCTATATATTAAAACTCATTCTTATAACATTTTGGTACAAAATGTTTACATTTCTGTGGTACATATTCCTGGTACAATATTTCAGGTATGATCCATCATGTAAATAAAATGTTTTTTGTGGTATACAGTAGGCCTACTGTATTGTTTAAATATTTAAATATTGATTTTTAAGTGTTATCACCTTCTTCAATAGGTAACGCATTTTTCATTTCATTTCATAAGCAAATTTTCTTTTTTATATGACTTTCCAAAACTGTATGAAAGGTACCGGTAGTTAGTTTCTTCACCACTGTACAGTAAAACCCCATTCGTCTGCCATTAGTTTATTTATTTCTATATGCTATGTACTAAAGTTGGTATCAATTAGCTAAAGTCAGGCGTTTAACACATTTTTTTTTTAAATCCTAAGAGAATCAAAATAAACTTTTTTAGCTAGTGCTCAGTAATCTGACATTTTTGGTAATGGGGCACTGTTGAAGTTGTCAATCACAGAAGCACCTAAAAATCTGTGTTTGAGCAGCGACGTTTCAAAATCACTGGAAGGTCACTGGAAAATTGTATAGTATAGTTTCAATTACATCTTTATTAGGCCTACTGTATGTAGTTACTAATTATGTGACTGTTTATAGATGGCTACAGGATACTTTTGACGTTCCACTTGTGATTCAGTTGACTGATGATGAGAAGTTTTTGTGGAAGGATCTCAAAGTAGAGCAAGTCATTAAACTTGCTAGAGAGAATGCCAAGGACATAATTGCTTGTGGTTTTGATCCAGAAAATACTTTCATATTCTCAGATTTCACTTTTATCGGGTAAGTTTAATCACGTTGAGTGAGGAAGATTTTTAGAGCTTGTGGTTTCAATTATAATTATTGAACCTTGCTCCCTCAAAGTTAATGGCTCGACTGTATAATGTTCGAACTGGTAAAAATGAAATCTTTCAGGAAAAGAATAGTTATTTGTGCAACTAGTGAGCAAGGGGAGCAATTGACTCACTCGAGAGAAAGGCGAGTGAGGAATGGTTTCCCAAGTGAGGCAATTGCACTTTGCACTCGAGTTGCACATTATATTTTTCCTACAGTTACAATAAAACAAATTGGTAAAGAAACGTGACATATTTTACCATAAAACAAATAAATTGGTAAAGAAACGTGACATATTTTTACACAGAAGTGAACTTTTAATATTACATTTAATGATACAACAGTACAACAGCTGACCAGCTGATTTACAACCAGTGCTGCCAACGTATTTCGCGTGCATACGACCTTTTCTGCATGTTACTCGCTCACTATTTCGTGCCTTCACGTTGCAAATCTGGAGTGAGTGACACAAAGTAATTTAGAGTGAGACAATGTTAACATTGTCATGTTAACATTGATGAGCGAATTGGCCACTTTGCTTTCTCAAATCAGTGAGAGAACATGTACATTGTTAGGTAACTGTAGGAAAATGTTATTTATTTCCTTGCAGAAGCAACCTTCCTGTGGCATCGACCAAATCTTTAGTGATGCCAACATTAGTCTTAAAAAAAATTTACCACACAATCTAGAATGAATGTAATAACGTTATACCTATTCTACAAATCTTGATATCGAAAAAAATATCAGATAGAACAAAGAAAGTTGTATGGTGGAGCCATTAAATAATATTTTTTTTCTTATAACAAGTAGCACAATATACAGTACTAGGTGAAACCCGTCGAAATCAACGGTTATTTTCAAGGATTACGCTAATTCATCTAACTGCGATAAATTGAGTGAAATTGTACATATTTTGAGCATTTAGCATTGTTTAAAGATTAATAAGTGTAAAAACAATAATGATAGTTACCAAATATGGTTGATCATTCAATGAATAAAATATCTCCCATACACTACTCGGAGTTATTAGTATTTTATCTGGTATCTCATCGTTTGGATTAAACTTTAAATAGTATTAGAATCGTATTGGTGGATCTTTTGTAGTTAAACACTTCCGTGATTTCATCAGTGTAATGCAGATTAATCTATGATTTTATTTGAAAAAAATATCTGTTTGTTGGGAAGACACGTTCTAACTTCAAAGGGATGTATATCCATTACAGTGTAAGTTTGATTTTTCCTTCGTCACGTCGCGTCAGTTCATATCGTACTTCTGTGCTAATGAATAACCCTCTATCATAGTTTTGAGAAATTTGTTGTGGGGTTACTGTTAAAGCTGGAATTCCTTGACATGGGGGATGTCAGTTAGTTGTCTCAGCCATATCAATTACATAAAGTTGTCAATATAATCTCTCTACGGAATGTGAGGTGTAGTGGAATATACTTGAAGTGAAGTTGGCTTTCATTCTTAAACTGTTAGGGGCCTCCTCATTTATATGCGGCTTCATTGACAACAAATAATGCAAAATGACATAGCAATGGGACATTTCCAAAAAGCAAAAATACTGTAAATTTGCTGTTACGTAAATATTGACGTACATGCATTGTTAATCAACGTATCTTATAAAGGATGATGTGATCTAGTTTAAAAGGAATATGACCTTTCTGTCATGACAGTAGCTGCTTAAATATTATTTACTCATTGGGCCATATTTACAGCCAAAATGTTGTGTTATTTTCAATAACATATGGGTAAGTTACATAGATTTTTTTGCTGCTGATCAGTGCACTTTAAGAATATATATTTTGGAGATAAATTAAATGGTTTTTGTTGCAGAGTAGCGCTAGTAAACATGCACAACCCTTTTCGTTAGTCTAATAACATTCAAAGGCTCTCTAAGAATTCAAGTTCTTATTTGTATTGGTACATATCTATATTATGTTTTCACTAAGCTGAATGAATACATCGAAGTAACCTCTCTGAAAGGTCTGCAGAATATTGCAGTTTTCCAGCTTAATGACTTTATTTATCATGCAACTATTTCTACATAAATATTGTAAAATGTTTTATCCAGTTGCTGTAAACTACTATTAATTTAACAAAATATGGACACGGCTCAAATAGGCACCGTGCCCTTCTGCACTTGTAGGCTATTATTTTGTATTGTATTACACAATTTAATATTTTTCCAATGATTGAAAACATGTATGACAATAATCTCATGAGCCATGAATCTATGATGATTTGTCTAGAACAATATGATAAAAATAAAGACAAAAATGGGGAAAAGGGCAGTCACCAACCCGTAAAATAGATATAAGGTCAATAAGAAATAATTTTAAGAGTTACTGTGATAAAAGGATTTTCCACTGATTTCGTCATGGTATATATTGCAAAACATAACATGATACAGAAAAAAATTAATTTTAAAATCAGAAAATAACATTGCAAATGCTTCTTTTGGACAATTCAGTAACTCCCAATTAATGTGTCTTGTTTAAAATACAATTTACAAATTAACAGCTGTTTCATTAAAAAGTATTATCCACATAGCCAAAATGTAAACAAATCTGTAGAGGGATCTTTAAAGGCTTCTGGGGCAGAGCCCTAAGGGAATTTACTTCGTTTTTCTTTTGATAACCCATCTACAGACCAAGACCTTTCTTTTGACACCCCTACCAAGTTTCTACGACAACCGTTCTCTCAAATTAGTGGAGACAAAGTTTCCAATTAAATTTTTAGATTCCCCCATGTTAATCTTATGGGAGAAAATCCAACTTTGATGGAAGATCCTGCCCAAACTAATAAAGATATCAAAAAACGAAAAACACTTTGCAAAACTACAGATCAGGGCAATTCTTTTGACATTTTAATCATCAAAATCGGTCCAAAAATGAGGGAGGAGTTCAGTTCACAAAAATCGGCTTAGCGTATTATACCAGAACGTATGATAAGATAATGAAGTGACACGGTACATGAAAGTCAGTATGCATTTAAAAGAAAAAGAGGGACAAATGAGGTCTTGCTGGAATATTCAGACTATGTAAACAATCAATTGGGCCAGGAAAAGCATTGATTTTAGTAAAGCTCTTGGATAGGTACCCTGGAACACCATAAAATTGCAGTGTCTTTAGAAAAATCAGGAATAAGAGGTCCATGTAAAGACTGGTTTATAAACTATTTAAAAAACAGAAAAATTAAAGTAAGATTAAACAATAAATGTAGTGAAGGAAAATAATTAGAATACAGTGTACCGCAGGGAAGTATATTAGGGCCTTTGATGTACGGTACCTAATTTATGTAAATGAGCTACCAAATGCTATACAGTTCTGTAGAACCTTTATGCACGCAGAAACGTGGCAAAAACCAAGATTGAACAGGGTGTCTAGTAATCGGGAAAGTCGGGAATTAGTATTGAATTTCAAAATGGTCTTGAAAAGTCGGGATTTAGTCTTAAATTTGATTTCAAAGTCGGGAATTTTCACGATTTTGCCGCGATAGTGGACGACGACGATGACGTTTCCAAAACCACGAGAGACGACGATGCCGTTTCTGTGACAGCGGGAGACGACGACGACGTTACCGTGACCGCGGGAGACGACGATAATGTTTCCATGACCAAGAGAGACGACGATGACGTCTACACGGCCGCGGGAAATGTTCATGATTTTGCCGTGATCGCGGACGACGACGATAACGTTTCCGTGTCTGCGGGAGATGACGGCGATGTCTAAACAGCCGCGGGAAATGTTCATGATTTTGCCGCAATCGCGGACGACAACGATGAAGTTTCCGTGACCGCGGGAGATGACGATGACGTTTCCGTGACCGCGGGAGACGACTTATACACATAAGATTCTAAGATTCTAAACTAGCTTTTGGCATAAAATAATTTGCTTAACATAACAGCTGTAAACATTCAGCTTTCGTGTCACAAATTCAGCATTTGGATAAAAATGTAAAGACATACTTATGGTTGACTTATTTATACTATGTGTAATGCTAATCATTGATACGTTCAATTCTTCTGTAAGAGAATGACAGATTAATTAAATATACATAGTAAAATACTAGGATGTTCAAATTATTTTTTATAACAATCTTTGTAATCTTCGATTTGTTTTAGAGCAATATAATTTGTTTTAACTAACAGCTGGTTAAATATAAACTATGGAACTATGAGGTTATTTTATTTACTCTTATTTTGTCATTGATTATAGGAAATAAGTAAGATTAGTACAGATAATTAGACCACAGTTTAAAATAGTTTAGACCAAAATTAATTAAACCACAGTACAAATCGAGGCTCTGTACACGAGTCTTAATAAAAAAGAATAAATGCAAATTATTTTACTGCTCCACTTTTCAAGGAAAGATTAGAAAAATAACAATGTTTACCGTACATGTTTTAATTCTTCATGGTAGCTTTTTGTTTACAAATTGATGTCATAAGAAGAAGATCAAGAATAATCAGGAATCACGATTTTAAATTACCACTACAACCTCAGCCGGGTTTTATACAAAGATAAACAGATGGATAACATAGATTGAACACAACGTCAACATTGACCTAGGACACTGCAATTAGACAAACCATCCTTTTATGAAATCGTGTTCAGTTGTGGTTACGTTTGGGGGTGCCTATATCAGCGCCCCCAAACGTGAAAATATCACTTTTATTTCAACTGTGAATATATTGTAGTTTAAATTAACTAATATGGGAAATTACGATGTACATTTATTCAATGAGGGTGGGTAATTATCAAGGATAGAACTGATAACGGTATGGATCATGGTATGGATAATAAACATTGACAATTACGTCATTAGCTTTACTAGCGTGATAACTTTTTATATTCCTGCTAGATGTGACCAGTTCTTTTTTTCAAATGAATGTTATTTGAACCAGACAGCTGTTTCAAAACAAACTGTTAATTGTTTTTACTTTTCTTTGTTAACATTATTTATTTAGCAACTAATGCAGTGAAATTTATATAAAAAGAATAGGTGTGACGATTAGTTTTGATGTTAGGACACCAAAGTTAAATTATGTGTACTGTGAATTTTATTGGATATTATCGTTTTATTTTAGGTCGTTTCTATTCAGACCTACTGGAAATTGTGTATAGTAGTTGTATTGTGGTGATAATAATTATGGAAGAGGCAGGTATGCTATGGAATGTGGTATCGTTGACTAGGTCTATACACTTCTCAATTGACTATTAACTCTCTCTACTGTAGGCTACTTATAATCAGTGTGCGACTGTGCGAATCGGCTGGAAATCTCACTTCAACGCTTTTCACATCGTAAAAATTGCAGAATTGCTATTTTATTGTGAAATTATCGGATTTAAAATGAATATTGTATTGGCCTATGATGGAATAAAAACATATTTGGTCACACAATATTTGATTTTTCACATTAAAAATGGAAGAAACTTTGTCTTTATATGTGTAAACTAGCTGATCTGAATTGTACACAGTTTTAACTGACTACTGAATTCCCGTACGTAGGACGGGCTAACACCTCGTTTAAATAACATTAATTTTAGTGAGTAGTTAAAGGTTTGCTGCTAAGGGGAAGATGTTGAGATGTGTTTTTTTAATTGAAATATTGATAGCTTAGTATGAAATAAACCAAATTGCCAAATTTGATTAAAATATATCCATAAACAAGCAAACTAGAACAGTTTATTTATTCTCCATAAAAATAACATGGGAATTTTAAATTAAAAATTTTTTTAAATTTTCTCCGTAGTCAATGAACATTCAAAAACACTTCAATATACTAAATTATTTGTTTTTTTAAGCTCTTCAAAATGGTCTAGAGAGAAATTTAGAAATTTAAAGTTTTTAGGGTCAAAAATGAGAAAAACCCATTTTTACCCCATAAAACCCCCCATAAACCCCTGATCCCATGGTCTGATTATGCTGGTTCGCGAACTCGTTCGAATAAATGTAGGTTTACACGTTTGTACCAAATTTCATCAAAATCTGATCAATTTTGCTCGAGTTATCGCGCTAACGGACACATATATAAATATATATATGAATTTGAACGGATGGTGTTTTTGGCCTCTGGGGACCTCAAAACGAAAAAGTAAATCGGTCCCGGGTCTAGGTCTTACCATGAGACCTACGGTAATAGCTTATTCCCTATATGGGAAATTCGCTAAAACGACACAAAAAATGAGCTTCAAATTTTACAATGGGATGAGAAGTCTACTTGTATTGGTTAGTCTATGGTTACACCTACCGCTTATTTATGATAGGGTTGTTGACAAGCTAAAATGGATGAAAGTATCTGTGTGATTGATGGTACCATTTATTTATTTTTCAGACAATGTCCGCAGTTTTACCAAAACATTGTCCGGATACAAAAGTCTGTGACATTCAACCAAGTCAAGGGTATATTTGGTTTTGGGGACAGCGATGTGATTGGCAAGATCAGTTTCCCAGCTATTCAGGCAGCACCTTGTCTATCCACTTCATTTCCTTTCATATTTGGTGATAAGAAAATTCACTGCCTCATTCCATGTGCAATCGATCAGGTAAGGCGTTGGCAAAAGTAATTTAATAGGCTATTCCAGTCATTAATAATGTATAATGTCAAATCTAAGTTACAATTTAATCTACTGATCACTTTAGTCATGTAGTGTGGGTCAAGCATGGCACTGCCAGAGGGGTTTCTAAATATCTGAAAAAAGTAAAAATATACAGTAACCAATTTATTCAGTACCTACATAATATATTTTAAAAATTATCCTCAAATGCCCTATGAGCATCATACCATCCGATATTACTCAGCCTTAAGGACAGGCAAAAACCATAAAAAAATTAATGTTAGTTTGAAACTAAAGTCTGAACTAAATTACGTAAACATAAGTCAGCTGACATCTTTTGAATTAAATATATTTGTTGTTTGTAATACTTCCTTCTATTACAGAGGGAGCCCATATAGGCAATCTTCTGCAAATATTTATTAATTTCAATGTAATTAGATTTTTCCCACTCCCCACCAGTTTTATTTATCATAGGATAGTTTTGGAAAATTTGTAATGTTTTGTATGAAGCTTTGTCTTGAACTTTCAATTTTTTTGTAATTTTTCTGTTTTCTAGGACCCTTATTTCCGAATGACCAGAGATGTAGCACCTAGACTCGGATTTTCCAAACCAGCTCTGCTTCATTCTGTGTTTTTCCCAGCTCTTCAAGGTGCTCAAACAAAAATGTCTGCAAGTGATGCCAACACAGCTATCTTCCTTACAGACACTCCCAAACAAATAAAAAATAAGGTGAGACCAAGATTATGCATAATCTTATAATACAGTGCTCGATTTGTAAAAAATGAGGTGCCGGAACTATAACCTATTTAATGTGATTAGTACGGTACCTATTAAGGCCTATATAAAATTTTATGCCAATATTTTTATCTTTCAAAAAGAGCGGTACTGGAACTCCGTTCCGCCGAGTTCCCCCGCAAATCGAGCTCTGCTTATATATTAACAAACTTTAGCAAAACTTATGACAGCTAGCCTGACCATACTACTGGACCAAATTACACTCGGGTTGTACCAAAAGAAAGGTCATCGGTCCTATATGTGCAGGTTTTATTTGTATTTTGAGAATATTTATGTTAATTTGGTCAAAATTGGATCAATTCGACTTTTCTTATGGACATTTAACATGGGGCTAATTCTATAAAATTAAAATTATTAGACATGCATGTTTATTGAAAAAATTTTTCTCAGATCCTGTGCATTGCAGGGAAAATCTACCCATGGTGTTAGAAAGATATTTGCCTGTAGATGTGTGGAATCCCTTAACAAATTAAAATAGGCTAAAAAAAACACACATAATGAATAACAAATAAAAAATAAAAAATAAATAACATGGGCCTTTTGGGTTGCTGTTTGGCATGTTGGTGACGAAATAACAAAAACAAAAAATAAACAGAAAATCAAAACAAATGGAAGGAATTTCCATGACCGTGAAAGCAGACGATGACGTTTCCGTGACCGTGGGAGACGATGATGACGTTTCCATGACCGCGGGAGACGACCATGATGTTTTCGTGACCGTGGGAGGCGACGATGATGTTTCCGTGACCGCGGGAGACGAGGATGACGTTTCCGTGACCGCGGGAGACGACGATGACGTTTCCGTGACCGCGGGAGACGACGATGACGTTTCCATTACCGCGGGTGACGACGATGACGTTTTCGTGACCGCGGGAGACAATGACGTTACCATGACCGCGGCTGCTGTCGATGACGCTTCCGTGACCACGGGAGACGACGATGACGTTTCCGTGACCGCAGGAGACGACGATGACGTTTCCGTGACCGCGGGAGACGACGATGACGTTTCCGTGACCGCGGGAGACGACGATGACGTTTCCATTACCGCGGGTGACGACGATGACGTTTTCGTGACCGCGGGAGATGACGATGACGTTTCCATGACCGTGGGAGCAGACGATGACGTTTCCATGACCGCGGGAGACGATGATGACGTTTCCATGACCGCGGGAGACAACCATGACGTTTTCGTGACCGTGGGAGGCGACGATGATGTTTCCGTGACCGCGGGAGACGACGATGACGTTTCCATTACCGCGGGTGACGACGATGACGTTTTCGTGACCGCAGGAGACAATGACGTTTCCATGACCGCGGCTGCTGTCGATGACGCTACCATGACCACGGGAGACGACGATGACGTTTCCGTGACCGCGGGAGACGACAATGACGTTTCCATTACCGCGGGAGACGACAATGACGTTTCCATTACCGCGGGTGACGACGATGACGTTTTCGTGACCGCGGGAGACGACGATGTGTTTCCATGACCGCGGGAGCAGACGATGACGTTTCCGTGACCGCGGGAGACGACGATGACGTTTCCATAACCGTGGGTGACGACCATGACGTTTCCGTGACCGCGGGAGACGACGATGACGTTTCCGTGACCGCGGGAGACGACGATGAGGTTTCCGTGACCGTGGGAGACGACAATGACGTTTCCATCACCGCGGGAGATGACGATGTCGGTTCCGTGACCGCGGGAGACGACGATGACGTTTCCGTGACCGTGGGTGACGACGATGACGTTTCCGTGATCGCGGGAGACGACGATGACGTTTCCGTGACCGCGGGAGACGACGATGAGGTTTCCGTGACCGTGGGAGACGACGATGACGTTTCCATGACCGCGGGAGACGACGATGTCGGTTCCGTGACCGCGGGAGACGACGATGTCGGTTCCGTGACCGCGGGAGACGACGATGTCGGTTCCGTGACCGCGGGAGACGTCGATAACATTTCCATGACCGCGGGTGATGACGATGACGTTTCCGTGACTGCGGGAGACGACAATGACGTTTCCGTGACCGCGGGAGACGACGATGACGTTTCCGTGACCGCGGGAGACGACGATGACGTTTCCGTTACCGCGGGAGATGACTATGACGTTTCTGTGACCGTGGTAGACGACGATGACGTTTCCATGACCGTGATATAACCTCACGATATATCTTTGAGACTGGCAAGCTGTATTAGCGCTAAAACAGCATTGCGGGAGTTAGCGCGCCAAAAACGTTGGAAATTTTATTATGAAAAGTAAGAACTGAACTACCGGGATTTTTTTTACTCATGAATTACTCATGAATTTTTTCTGTTTGCCCAGGTGGACACCCTGGTTGGAGTTGTACTGCTTGCTAGTTTTCAAATGTACATTCTGATAAATGTAATAGGTTTAAAAACTAAACTCACAGTGTACTATGCATGTTCTTTTCTGTCTTGCAATACGGGATTGAATTATGGGGGGCAACATCTCATTCTAAAGCAGTTTTTTTTTTTTAAATTCAGAAGAAATTTATAAGGGTTTTAAATATCATTCATGCCTAAATGAACATCATGCAAAGCTTTATTTGCTAAATATGAGATATTAACTTAACTTTGCCTTCACTTTATATAGGCTATTCAAAATTATGGTGGATTTAAAAATTAATTATCAAATGAAATGCACAATAAACAATATAGTCATCCGTATCCTACAAAGTCAAAAAACTTTCAATACTCAAGACATCGCTTATGTTTAGTTATATGAAAAATTTCCTTATCATATGGGTTTAAGGCTTTACAACAGTCTACCCACTAACTTCAAAAAAGTTGACAGTGTTTCTAAATTTAAAAATTATTTAAACAATACCGTATAAAGAAAAAATATTATTTTAGTTTAACTGAATATAGTTTTTAGTTCAGTTTTGTATTGTATTGTTAAAGATCTGATAATGTTCCCTGGTTCGCCTGCTGCTCAGGATTTCTGAAATGTTTTCTGACGATAAAATAGTGTTTCATTTAATTTCATTGTCATTGTGAATTTTTGGCTTTTACGGACTTCGAGATCGACTCTTTCTACAAGTTTGGCAGTCACTTAATGCTGGGTTCCCACTTTGCTCTTCATTGTAAACGTTAGATCGACCATTTTAAAATTTTATGACCCATTGACGCATTCCACTTTCTGTGATAATGTTGTACCCATACACTTCACAAAGCTGTAGATAGATTTCTATTGGTTTACAGATTTTCAGTCAGAACCATATTACTTCACCCACCTCACAGTTCCCGGCATTTTTCAATTAACACAGACATTTTAAACTGTCACAGTAACTCAATGGAGTACAGTACGAACTTCTCACTAGCTCGAACAACCTGACAACCTGTTGAGCTGTTTAACAAACTGACACCAAGATGGTCAGAAAAAAAGGTGAAAAAGTGAGGTTAACATGATACAGCACTGACTGTTTGTGATCCTAAAAATTGTTATTTTTCTAAGTTTTAAAGAGGTTTTATTTTAAAATTTGTGTTGTATAATCAAGTCTTACTAATTTATTGCAAATTGAATGGATAGACTGCATTTTTTAGTGAAAAGTTTTCTTTAGAAGCATGCAAATAACACCACATAACCTACAATGAAATTTAGGTAAATAATCTACATGTATGATATAACAGCTATAAACAAAAAGTGCACTTAACTGTCTCCAGTGAATATTAAGTGAACCACTGTAACTGAGATTATCAACTTACTAAAAGATAGGCAGAGAAATCAACATAAACTGCAAGGTCATTGTGCCTAGGCCAACAGTGAAACAGAACTAAAAGGTCTTATCTCTTATCAGTGGGCATATTTTGTCAATTAGCAGGCAATATTCCTGAGTCTGTGTAAACCTATTGACCTCTATTATTTATTTAACAGAATTTTAAGGAAAGGAACAATTTACAATAATTTACTTTGGTAAAATAAAAATATAACCCTATCACCCTACAACTATTTTAAGTGCGCTTCGTTTTTGTAAATTGATTATGTCTCTTTTATGTTATAATATTTGATTTTCTAGAGAACTAAATATATGGTTAAAATATATGGATATTTGGTTTGCTTATTGTAAAACTGAATTGAACCATATAACTTATAATATTTTGGGGTACTGGTATATTTAACAATGCACGGACAATAGTTATTATAATGGAGCACAAATTCCATAAAGGTGATAAAGTATTTGCTAAGGTCAGATGACATTCACCCTGGCCTGCTCTGATAAAAAACATAGATACCAGCAATAAGTTACCTAAATATGAGGTGTACTTTTATGGAACCAAAGAAACAGCTACAGTCAAAGAAATTGACATTTGTTTATTTATAGAAAATAAATCACGCTTTGGTAAGAGAAAAAATAAAGATTACATACAAGCTCTAAAAGAAATTGAAACTAGTTTCAATAAATCACAAAATCAAAATAATTCTTACACCACTCTAGAAAAAAGCAATATTGAATTTGACACCACAGCACTTTCACTCTCAACAATGCCAGCAACGAGCAGTCCGATAATTTGCTCAAATCTACAGTCCCCAATAATCGTGGCTGATATGACCACAGATAAACACAAAATTGACATCAATGAGACTCAAGAAAAAATAGGCACTGGAAATGTTGTGAGCTTATTGGGACCTAACTGGATAGTTGACGATGTAATTAGACAGTATTATGAACTGTTAAGTAACAGTATAATAAAAAGCAATGAAGTAATGTGCTTAAACCCTGTTATCTGCCAGGCCGTAAAAATGTTGGAAGATTATCAATTTGTTTTGGAACCACTGAATATCAAGCAAGCCAAATATATTTTTATTCCTGTTAATGATAGTACAGATGTAATGGACATAACAAACAATGAAACAACAGAACCATTGAAATGTGGATCACATTGGAGCCTCTTAGTTTTTGATAAAAATA